TTCGAAACACTCAAATCTTATCAAAAATTAGATTTTCTTTTTGGACAAATTTGATTTTTTGTAAGATGAACTCACCATCATCGTGTTCTTTCACATCTTTATCATCAAATTTATCATCATATTTTCCTATATTCAATACATCACAACCACAGCAAATTCAATGGAAAGAATTCACGCGACTGTTTTCTAATCGATTGTATTCCCGTGGATTTGATTTAGTAAAAGCGTTTCCTGCACAAAGGTAATCTCAGTCATGATTTTTTTATATCTTAAAAGATATGAAAAAGTAACAGATTCAGTTTAATAGATACAATGCCAAAATATTGTCAAACATTTCTCCTTTGCCTTCATACAAAAGAAATAGCACATTAGCTATTGTCATCGCAAATACAAAGGTAAAAATTTGAATCTTCGATAGAGAATAATTCTTAATCCAGTTTATTAATTTGTATTTCTTTAATCTTAGCATTTATGGCCGTATTTCCTTCAAAATCTCTATGAGCAATCCCGGATGCATATTAAATGGGATAAAAATCCATTAGATTTTTACACGAAACATTCGGTTACTGAGTCAGTAAATGAAGTTTTAAGCATAATTGGTCGAAATGATGTCAAATTTGATATACGTCATACGTTTGATATGGAAAAATCGAGATTTGTAGCGTTTCAATTATTGGCTCATGAGGCAGGACTGGCTTATTATAATCGTTCTTGTTGTTTAAACATTCATGAAATTGCTGGACCATGGATTGGATTAAGATCTGTTGGTTTGTTTTCGTTTAATTAAGCTTTTCACTTTTCTATTAAATTTTCATTTATTATCCTTTATTTTGTATATAGTAACATTTGACATCGAAGGACCATCGATATCCGATACCAATATTCCGCTAGAAAATCCTTATCCCGAAGGCGATTCATTACTAAAAGCAAAATTATTTACCATTCTACATCCAAAACACTATACTTCTTCCAGTAAAGAGAGAAAAAAATTAACAGCAAATGATATTAGTCGAGATTGGTATCAATGGGTTGAACTAAGAGATTTAGCTTCTGGCTTTATGTCTGAAGAAGCACGAATCAAGTGGAGATATTCCGATGATCAAATAGAATATCACTATACAAAAAATTTAAGTAAATTGCAAGAAATTTTGTTAAACTTACCAGAGAATAATCTCTTCACAAAAAAGGAGCACTAGAGATAAAATAGTTATTGATGTAATATACAAGGAATTGAATTTTTCACAATACTGTTTGAATGGAATATTGATAAAATTATCTAGTCATTAATTACTGTAGCGTGAAATGAAAAGCCTTCTCGTATACATACCAGAAGTCAGGATATCTTCACTTGATATCGGGTTCCAAAGTGACGGATTCGTTTTTCGGGTAATATATTGTAGGGGCGTATTTTTCCGCGTAGACATTGAATTTGTTAAAAATATTGTTTTTATTTGCGAGCATTGAATATTTCTTTGCAAATAAAAAAATATCTACCGACAAATGATAATTAGATCATTTATTTCGTTATATTTGTAAATAAATACATGTATATAAAAGATATATGAATAAAATAAATTAATTTTGATAAAAGTATTGTTATAATAGAAATAGACGCGTAATTGAAATCATCACAGTTAAATTTTAACGTTAATATCCAAGTTTGACGTTTTTTTTTTAAATTCGCTCGGTAGCCATGTAGTGTACTTAAATCGATAAGGGAATTAAAGAAATTAATATGAATTAATATGATTGATTTTTAGTAACCATAGAAATTTCTTAGTAAAAATCTAAAAATTCGACTTGCGTAGATTGGATTTATTGTTTTTTGTTCGTATGATTCCATCAAGTTTATTTAATTTTTTTCATCTGTTTTAGGATATTCTAAAAGAACTGTAGTATTGAAAGTGCAAAGTTTTATTCCAATAATCTACGACAAAGTTAACAAGTTCTTCAGCAGTTGGTCTTTTTTTGGAATAGGATCCCAACATTTTTCAATAATGAACTTGCACCATCCAAGAATATTATTCGGTATTCCTTCATAAATTTCTAATGATCATGACTTCGTTTACCAAATGGTCGTTTACCTGTTCTAATTTCGTCCTCGACCATTTCAAAGCTATAAATATCTGCTGCGTTGGTTTATGGCTTTCCATTTAGCACCTGGACTCAAGTAATATGGGAATATACAAACTTTAAATTTCTCATAAAACAAAAATCTTACAAGTTTTCTATAATGATGAATTCTGGAAGAGTTTGAAGAGTTTATAAAAAACAGATAATGTGATTATTTATAACATTCTCATTACAATTATTTTTTATCTATTTTAAAAAATTCTTCACAATTAATAAGTCCTAACATTGCTTTTTATCTTTTTATA